AGTGTAACTCACTCTTTATTTAATCATTTCAGATTAAGAGGACTTGGTTCCCGAGACCGATCTACAAGAAGACGGCGAGTATTTACCTAGATGTTTATTAGTTTCTCTTATAGTCTTTTATTTCCAGTATTTTCCTTTAGATGACTTATTTTTGGTATTGTTAGTACGTTTAAGTTATTGTGTAAGGGATATTAACCAGAACCTTTTATTTCGCTTCCGCACTTATATTCTTTATATACATTTTTCTTTTAAATTTCCGGAGCCGTTACACGCTTATTACCTCTAGAGACATCTCGTTTAAATTCACAGAATAGGTTCTCCTCCAACCTTTGGTAAATTTATGTTACAATATCTAATGTAGTAAATTAAAAGATAATAAAGTAAATTAGAAATGCATATGAATCCATTTTTACGAAAATAGATTGAGGCTAATGATCTTTAACCTAAAAAATATATAATAACTTAAAAATTGGCATAAATAATATTTAAATTTTTCGATAATAATTAAGTGATTAAATAAGAAAAAAATAAAAATAAAAATAAAAAATAGAAAGAAGAAAGTGGCCCTCCCTAAATCCAATCAGAAACCCCTCTTCCCCTTCCCCCATCTAAATAAAAACAAACATTCATTTATTCCAATATTTACTGTCGCGTATTTTAATTAATAAAAAATAATACCCAAACATTTTCGACATTTCCAGGATTTTATCCCCAAAATTTTAGCTGGTACGCATCCCAATTCATATTCTGGAACGTAGGTTTCCTTTAATATCAACACATCTACAGGGATGGTGAGTGTAATACCTATGGCCTCCTCAATTCGACCTTCTATCTCCTCCTTCAATTGTGCTTCTGTTGCCCCTCGTCTCGCCTTCTCTCTCTCTTCTTCCAATCTTTCTCGTAACCTCCTCTTTTCTCACCTCGCCAGTGGTAAGATTCTACCACACCCTTGTATACCCTGCAAAACTGCACACGTGCAGAGATTATTCATTTCTAGATTCGCATTGATGGAATTAGGTTATTTTTTTCTGGATTAATTGTTGTGGTTTATGCTGGCTTTATTTGATTCGCAATCTGTTTCCTTAATCTGTTTGGTTTCTCATGCATTTATCGTATACGGCTGGATTGCCAGACTGTTGGGCTTAGAGGCTGTATAGCAAAATGCATCAATTATTTCGTACTTGAACAAATTTTGGGTGATTTGATGGTTTTAAAATTGCAATCAGCTGTTCCGCAATCGCAATTCTTTGGTTTGAAAGCATCCAACCTGTTGAGAGGAGAAGTTACCAGCATAGCAGTGTCTGCATCTGGGAATACGGCACAAGCAAGCACAAGTACCACGCAAGAAAATGTCCTTGAGTGGGTCAAGAAGGACAAGAGAAGAATGCTTCATGTAGTTTATCGTGTGGGAGATTTGGACAGGACCATAAAGTACACAATCATATGTTGTTTTGAATTGCCCTATTAATCTTATAAATGATGTACTATCTTTTATTGGTCTGTATGATCAGTTTTATTTGAAGGGTAGAATTAAATGCAACATCTATTCATGCAGATTTTATACTGAGTGCCTGGGAATGAAGCTTCTGAGGAAACGTGATATTCCAGAGGAGAGATACACAAATGCCTTCCTCGGATATGGGCCTGAAGATTCTCACTTTGTGATTGAACTCACTTACAGTAAGCCACCTGGCTGTTCTTTTTTTTTTTTTTTTTCTTTTCCACACATCTTAATGCTTAATGGTAATACTTCTTATAGGTATGCGACAAGTACGTGGAATATAACTTTTTAGTGCTCTGTAGTCAGTGCATGCTTATATTGTTTTGTTATTGGTGGTGCCAGATTATGGAGTTGACAAATATGACATTGGAACTGGGTTCGGCCATTTTGGTATTGCAGTTGAAGATGTAAGTCTCTGCCATCAAAGTTTTGTTTCTTCCAGTGACCATTTTTGGTTTCCCTCAATCCTCATCAAGTTTTACAACAGAAAGTTTGCTATGTTATTTTAAACCTCCTGTTTGTAATTTCATCCTATTAAACTCATAGTTTTGTGCTTCTTTAATTAGGTTACCAAGACTGTGGAGCTTATAAAGGCTAAGGGTGGCAAAGTCACTCGTGAGCCTGGCCCTGTCAAAGGTGGGAAGACAATAATTGCATTTATTGAAGATCTTGATGGTTATAAATTTGAGTTATTGGAGAGGGGACCTACACCCGAGCCCCTATGTCAAGTTATGCTTCGTGTTGGTGATCTTGACCGGTCAATAAATTTCTATGAGAAGGTGAGAATTTCTTGCAATGATTAAATATTGATATATTTGTGACTTGCGGTTCCTATTGGAAATTATGCCTGTTGCTTTCGGTTCGCTGGATTAAGTTGTGTATATTTCTTAATATGTTTCTTGTGTTGTTATAGGCATTTGGCATGGAGCTTCTTCGCACACGAGATAGTTCAGTGTATAAGGTAACATGTTTGTCCTACATGCTTAAGTACTTTTCCTTCTCCATTTTTTAAATGAAATTATAGGAAGAAGAAAGAGGTACAAGAACACAGGATAAGGTATCCTCCTAAGCTAACAAAGAGGTTGTGTAAAGGGAAAAAAAACCACATAGAGATTAATACAAAACTCCATTATATTCTCTTTGCCAAGTAGCTGAAAGAGATATTCTTAAAGAACTTGTGGGTCTTTGCCTATAGAGAAGCAACGAAAATCTTAGAGAAAAGACAATGGAAGTAACTATCCTTGAACTGTCTAGTATTCACCCACAATAACCATAATAAACCACCAAGAAGAGCTTGCCTTCAGGGCACCCTAATTTCCTTCTTTAGCCCATTTCCCTTAAGGGAAAAATGAGAAAACACTCAGGGGAAAGTTGGGAAACACAACGGGGGAAGTATCAAAAAGCCTATATCAAAATCTCCAAGCTACTTCAAGATGCAATAAGAGGCGAGAATGGGACTCGGCCTTCTGGAGCACATGGTTCCAACATATGGAGAAAGAGCCCGGTTTGGTCTGTGAATGTGCAACAGATAATTTGTGTTGATCTGTTAAGAACAACCGTCCAGACAAAAACCATTAACTCAGAGGAAACTTTTTCTTCCAAAATGCACTAATGAAATTTTCTTCTCTAATTTGAGCGTACTTTTTAATGCTTCTGTTTTGCTTATCCCTAAAAAGTGCATAGGTGTGAGTTTGCGATTTTGCTTACTTTTGGCAAATGAAAATATGATTATTTGAGCTTTGTCCGGTAAATATAAGATTTATATGAGTTCTTGAGGGCATAAGTTTGTGGTTGTTCAGTATTCAGTAGCCATGATGGGCTATGGTCCTGAAGACAAAAATGCTGTGCTTGAGCTGACTTACAACTATGGAGTCAACGAATATGAGAAAGGAAATGGTTATGCTCAGGTAGAAATGCTTCCTCAGTTGTCTCTCCTTCTCAAGCCTGTTCTGTAGATTTGTTTTTTTTCAGCTGTTCAACATTATATGAAGAGATCAGAGACTGACTTCTTTGCATCTTTGCAGATTGCTATTGGCACAGATGATGTTTATAAAACTGCAGAGGCAGTAAAGCTTTGTGGAGGGAAAGTTACCAGAGAACCCGGACCACTACCTGGGATCAATACAAAGATCACTGCATGCTTGGATCCTGACGGCTGGAAAACTGTATGTTTTCTAATTTTACCCTGACCTTTGTGATCTCAGACATGATGCATGTGTGCCGGATTACTTTAGTCTACCTTTTCGGTTTATAAACTTATGAGATTCTTCCAGTAATATTCAAATTTGGTATAAATTAGAAATGGTAAATCTCCTTAGAAAAGAGAAAATGTCGGTTGTGCAAAATTCACTGGGATAACCCTGGGAAAGTAAAACTTGGTAACATGCTTTTGAGTTGTTGGATATGCCCACCTTTAAAGTTAAACAAAAAAATAAACCTATTTTATTAAGGGTTGTCCTCCTAAAATTTATTTTCTTTAAATTTATCATCTATTTTTTTGTATAAAAAAAATCTAAAAATACCTTTTCTATTAATTGTCCCGCAGTTTGAAAAGAAAAAAATCAATTAGAAGAGAAAAAAATCCTATGCATTTTTCTCTAAATCTCACTCCACCTTCTCCATGTTTCAAAGGAAACTATAAACAGTTCTAAAAAAAAATCTGTAATCAAAATAATTTAACTTGAGTATGCTGGTACAATTTTAAAGAGAAGAGGCACAACAAATAGCACAATTGAACAAGATTGAAGCCTTGCATATAGGGATTATTGATTGCATTTGGAGCATGAAACTATTGGCAACATGGTGATTTTGCAGGGCTTTCTGGGGATAAGCTGAAGAGTTATGTTTTGGGAATAAAAATTTGACGTTTAAATAAGTTAGGATTGAAAGAAGATATGAGAATTGAAAGAGGATTTGTGGAAAAATTTTAGGGACTAAAAAAACTAAGAACAAATAAGAAAAATCTTCTCACCCATGCTACTCTTGCCAATTCCTCATAACTTTCTTCCTCCCTTGGGCTCTTGATCTCCAAAACATCTTCTCCCTCTGTTTTTTTTCTCCTTACCCAACTTTAGTAAACCATTCTTCAACATTCTTCTGATGGCAAGATAACCAACAATAGTACAGATGTTTAGAGTTTTGCCCAAGATTTTGACTTGTAATGTTATAGATTCTTATATCTTCTTTTATGACCATCATTGCTGCACTCAGTAACACTAGAATCTGCTGAGAAAGAAGCATCTCAAATCAACTAGAAAAAGATAAAATTAAGATCTCCTGGCATTTGTTGCCTGGTGACTAGAGGCAAGAACAAAACTTGTTGTTTCCAATTATTAAGGAAATTGGAAACAGTGAGTTTACTACCCGAGAT